CGGAGACGTCATCGCCGCGCGACCCGCCGGGAAGGACGGAGAGCCGCCGGGCCGCGGCGCCCCCCTGCGGAGCCGCCTGCGGGAGGACTGAGCGCGGACGCGGAGCGGGGCTCCCGGCAGATCTTTATTGTGCCCGGTGCGGCCCGGCGCTGCGGGGCTCGGCGCGGCGCTCACTGCTTCACGCGGCCCCCGTCGCCCTCGCTGACGAAACGCTTCCGGCCCCTGTGAGGGGGGTGGTGGCAGATCGCCGCCCCACGGCGTCCCCGCGTCCCGTACCCGGCGGCCCCCCGGTGCCCCCCGTCCCACACGACCGTGCGGGTCTCGTGCGGTGCCCCGCTCCGTGTCCCAAAGCTGGCGGGACCCCGCGGCCGCCCCGCCCCCATCCTGTACCCGGCAGGGTCCCAGGTCTCCACGTCCCCGTATCCCAAACCTGGCGGTGCCCCGTGTCCCCCCGTGTCCCCCCGTCCCCGTCCCATACCTGGCAGGACAGGCATCGCGCAGTGCCCGTGTCACCACGCCGCGCTGACAGCACAGCTCCAGCAGCCGCTCCAGGCGCGCGTGGGCCAGCGGTGCATCCAGGCTGAGGTCAGCCAGCGCCGCATAGACCCGCTGGAAGCCCTGCAGCCACATCGGCGTCGTTGGCGTCGTTGTCGGTGCTGCCCCGCGCCCCCATCCCGTGCTCACCCGGTTCATCTGGTCCAGCGTCACCAAGCCGGTCTCCCACAGCACCTGCAGCAGCGTCACCATCGTCGTCACCGGCGCGTCCCCGGAGCCCTCCAGCACCATCACCACCGCCTGCAGGGGTCACGCATCAGCGGGGCCACGGGGCTCCGCAGCGCCGCCCGGCACAGCGCTCACCTCGTACACCAACTCGTGGTGGAAGTGCGGCACCTCCAGCGCCCGCAGGCAGCGCTCAGCCTCCGACACCTCCCCGGACAGCAGGTACTCACGCAATAACAGGTTCATCTGCGGGACGTGGTGCAGGCACGCGGACACGGCACGGTGACACAGGGATGTGGAACAAGGACATGGCGTGGGGACATGGCACAGGGACACTGGGATGCAGCACGGGGATGTTGTGCAGGACGAGGGGATGTGGCATGGGGACGTGGGGTGCAGCAGGGAGGGGCAGCGGGGGATGCTGTGCAAGGATGTGCCACAAGTGTATGGCAAGGGGATCTGGTGTGGCATGGGGATCTGGTATGGGGATCTGGTGTGGCATGGGGATCTGGTGTGGCATGGGGATCTGGTATGGCATAGGGATCTGGTATGGCATGGGGATCTGGTATGGGGATCTGGTATGGGGACGTGGCGTGGGACACGCATGGGAATGTGGCCCAGGGACACGGTGTGGATGCGGGGATGGCACTGGGACATGTGGGGTTGGTGGCACTGTGAGCGGATGAACACAGGGATGGGAGCGGGGACAGCACACGGGCACAGCCAGGGACAAGGAGCACGGCAGGGGACACGCAGGGCGCATCCGGAGACAAGGGGGGGCTGAGGGGATGGGGCACAGTGGCGGCCACAGGGATGCACGAAGGGCCAAGGCAGCAGCACGGCACACCAGCAGGCACTGGGAGGTGCTCTGGTTCCCGCTGACCTCCTTCACCAGGTGCTTGACGGGGCGCTGCCCACCCCCCACACCCCACACGTTGTCCAGCCGGTTGACGTCACGCTTGATGCGGAGCAGGACGGCGGCGCGGTCCAGGGCGGCCCTGTGGAGCAGCAAAGTGAGTGCAGGGCATGGGGCGGGCAGCGGGGTGAGGGCAGAGAGAGCAGCGGGGTGAGGGCAGCGGGGTGAGGGCAGCACTCACCTGGCGTGCTCGCAGTCCACGCGGCCTCTGTAGCGCTCCAGGAAGCCCAGGGGCAGCGCGTGGTCGGCCACCGCCCGGGCAATGAACTGCCCCAGCATCTGTGGGGGCACGGGGTCAGCACGAGGACCCCCAGCCCGCTCTCCGCCGTGGCCCCGTCCCCAACCGCACGTCCCCGCCGGCACCTGAGGGGCCTCGGGGGTGTCGAGGATGAGGTCGGGGAGGTCCCGCAGCATCTTGTCGAAGGCCCAAGCGACGTCCTCGGGGCTCAGCACGCGGCCCACCAGGTCAGACAGCAGCCGTGATGTCAGCTCCCTGTGGCTGGCTTTGCCCTCCAGCGCCAGTGCCACCGCCAGCGAGGGCACCGCGTGCCGCCGGCCGCCCAGGTTCAGCCCCCGCAGCAGCTCCTGCGCCCGGCACCGCAGCGCCAGTGGGTGCTCACACCCTGCCCCGTGCTGCAGCCTGGCCCCAAATCCCCTCCGGCACTACGGTGCCTCCCATCCCCTCCACAACAGACTTCATTCCTTCCTGAGGGCTCCCACCAGCCCTGGACCCCCTCCCCGCTGCAAGGCTCTGCCACACGGACCCTCCTTCCCCCCAAGGGTCCCCTCGCCCCCGACGCACCACGACCTCGCCGGTGTCCCCGTGCTCGAAGTACTCCAGCACCATGGGCTGCACGTTCTGCTCCAGCTCGTCCTCCTCCAGTTCGGGCACCACGGTGGCGTAGACCGTGTCCCCCTGCGGGGTCGGACGGGAGGCTCCGGAGAGGCGCCCGCAGTGATGGCTGCGGGGTAGGGGGGGAGGTGGGGGGCAGGGTCGTACCTGCGCCACTTCATCGTAGTTGGGGTCGCGGGCGTCGGGCTCCTGGTAGCCGTACACCACGCCGGGGGCCCCCCACACGCCTTTACCCCCCGCGCCGCCTGCAGAGGGCACAGCAGGGGCTCAGCCGGGGGGGGGGGGCACGGCGCGCACCTGGCGGGGGCTGCGAGGCCGCCCCGCGCTCACCTTTCTTGGGCAGCCCGCGGCCCTTCCCGCCGCGCGATCTGCGGTCGTGCGCTCTGCCCTTGGGGCTGCCGGGTTCGGCGCCCGGCTCCTCGGCCGGCGGCTCCCGGGCGGAGTCCCGGGACGAGGTGCGCCGCAGCCGCCGCTTGGCCTTGGCCCTGAGCCGCGCTTCGTGCAGGAGTTTCTCCGGGGGAGCCCAGGGCCGCGCCCCCCCGGCGCCGTCCTCCCCCTCTTCTTCTTCCCCCTCCTCTTCCTCCTCCTGCTGCTGCTGCTCCGCGCTCGGGCCCTGCGTGCACGGACGGCCCGTCACCGCGCGCCCCGACGGGACCCCCGCGGCCCCCTCCCACTCACCGCCCCCGGGGGGGAACCCCCGGCACCGCTCCGGGGCTCCGCTCCCGATACTTGCCGAGGCGAACGGGGAGCGGGCGGTAGCGCCCGGCTCGGCCGTGCTGGAGGCGGACATCCCGGCGGCACCGGGACCGGGAGCGGAGGGAGGGGAAGGGGCGCGCCGCTCGGCCGGATCCCGCCCCGCCGCGCGGAGGAAGTGACCGGGAGGAGGCGGCGGCATCATGGGAGCCGTAGTCCCACCGGCACCGGCGGCACCGCGCGAAATAAGCGGGTCGCGGGGCGGGCGGGGGTCCCGATGGCCCCCGTGCACGCGCGGACACCGCGGGAGCGAATCTCGGATTCAGACCCCGAGTCCGCGGATGCTCGAGGCCGGGACCCCTGGGCACGACCGCGGGGAGGCGGACACGGAGCGGTCCGGACGGAGCTCGAAGGCGGCGGGGAAGGAGCCCCGCCCGGTGTCCCCGCGGGGGCACCCACGAAGGACAGCGGCAGCGCCGATGGCAGACGGTGACGGCGCGAGGCGGAGAGCGACGGGTCGGGATGCTCGCGGCCACGGTGCGGGCCCGGCCCCCCGCGCGAGACCCCAGGGACCGGGACAGAAGCCGGAGCTCGGCGCCGCGTCGCTTTATTTCGGCCGCGCTCAGCCCTCGGGGCTCTTGGCCATGCACGGCAGGCCGGGGACGCGCCAGCGCCGCGCTCCGTGCAGCCGCAGCGCCAACCACTGCTGCTGCCCGCCAGACAGGTAGGACTCGGGGGGGCCGCCGCGGGGCCGGCCGGGGGGCTCCGAGCCGGGAAGGGGCGGGGGGGGCCCCGCTGAAGGCCCCGCCGCCTCCAGGGTCTCCAGGCTGTGCAGGCTGCTGGCGCCCAGCTCCTGTGTGCGGGCACCGTGGTTGGAGCCTGGGGGCGAGAGGAGACGGAGTCGGGGGAGGGAGCGCGGCGGGAGCCGTGGGGGCTCCCGGCTTCGTCTCCGTCCCTTTCCCAATCCTCAT